AAAAAAAAAAAAAAAAAAAAAAAAAAAAAAAAAAAAAAAAAAAAAAAAAAAAAAAAAAAAAACTTTATGTCACGATTAATGATGCTTAAAAATCTAGCTTCCATGCTATCCTCTGTCCATTTATTTTTCTTATTCGTCTTCATCTACAATTCCAAAATTTCCTTTTGTTTTAAACTAAAAAAATAATGATATGTAAATTCTAGATTTGCCTTTAAATATTTTTACAATTTTATCTCACTACTTAATCACAAACTAAATGTGGTTACATAGCTATAAAAGAAAATTAAATTATTATTATTCTTCACAATTTTAAGGTGGGGATTTGGACCTTCAAGGTAATTAATAAAATTTTGGATCATAAAGATCTGGGGTGGGTTCTTCGTAGCCAGTTAGGAGCTCTACAACTCTGCTCATTGCAGGCCTCTGGTTTCGATCTTCCTTCACACACAGCAGAGCCACTTTCAACAGTGTTTCTATCTTCTTCTTGCTTTGCTTGTCTTCCACCTTCAACCTTGGATCCATCACCTTCTCCACCTCACCTTTGTCTGCAACTTTCATTATCCATTTCACCAAATCTGTGCTGCTTCCACCATCGTTGCCAACGCTGGACGATTGAAACCCGTATGCGTTTTTTCCACTCAGCAGCTCCAACACGACAATCCCGTAGCTGTAAACGTCTGCTTTCGCATCAATTTTCAGGTTCATCATCCACTCCGGAGCTAAATAACCCCTCGTCCCTCTCACCTTCGAGAATCCACTCTCATTGATCTCTCGAAACAGCTTCGACATTCCGAAATCAGCAACTTTCGACTCCAAAGCTTCGTCAAGAAGTATGTTTTGAGGCTTCACGTCGCAGTGAAGAACCCACTCAAGACATTCTTCATGCAAATATGACAACCCCTTCGCTGTTCCAACGGCAATCTCGTATCGCTGCTCCAATCCCAACGCTTGGGATGAATCCGAGAATACATGTTTGTCCAAAGACCCATTTTGCACATACTCATAAACCAACATCTTATGCTGTTTCTCAGCGCAAAAACCCCACAATTTCACCAAATTCTTATGGTTGATCTTTCCAATGATGCTCACTTCTGCCCAAAACTCTGCATCGCCTTGTAAAACGCCTTCCAATCTCTTCACCGCCACAACCCTTCCATCATCCAACTCTCCCTTGTAAACCGTTCCAAACCCTCCTTTCCCAATCTCTTGCTTGAAGTTCTTGGTGGCTCTCTTTAATTCAGCATACGAGAATCTCTTGAACCCCATGGCCAATACAATGTAACCCATGTTAACCAATTCCTCATTTACCCGCTTCCGAAACACATTCCACCACCCGAATCCAACAAAAACGAGCTCACTAATCCCAACGGTAACCACCACTCCAAGTAACAACCCTATATAACGAAACTTATTACTGTCCTCTGCATACAAATGATCTGCTCCCAAAACAGTCTGTGAGCCCGAGCAATCCAAATCACTTGTCGAAATTTGCTGCCTCAATGACGGCTCGCCTTTCCTGGTCTTAATAAACATTAGCACAATCGTATCGGGCTTTCGATACCCATTACGAAGAGCGCTTTTGGGATAACATTGTCCCGTGCCATCGAGTGCATATCCAAATCCAGTGCACTCGCAGCTACTAAGGCACAAATCCCTACACGTTTCGAGGGATATTTCTTGCCTATAAGCCCAATCATGCCCGAAGTAATCCGTATTAGGAAGGGCGATGAAATCCATTTCTTTGGAAGAATTAGTGGAACCGCAAGTCAAATTCAGAAGGGGTCTGCACCCTTTAGTCCAATCCGAAGGATCATTTCTAGTGAAACCGGGAGGACAGGAACAAGCCGGTAATGGGTTATATTCGCAAATACCGTAGTCCCCACATAACCCATGAACCATACAAGCATCTATACGCGCACCGGAAGGAAGCCAGGAGATGGTCCAGTTGCCTGTTGATTCATCGAGGCTATACAATCTCAAAACCCCATCAAAATCAACCGTCAATCTCCTCTTGGGACCCAACCCATAATCGGTAGCGTTGAATTTGAAATTGTCACTCGATTCAAAGCCTCCCATTTTGTTTAGAATTGCAATTCTAGAGCTGTTATACGGAGATCGACCATTCACGAAAACCGTTACCATGGTATCAGGCCAATAAATACCGGAAAGTGAAGGGGTGTTGTATAAGAGATTCAAGATATTGTAGTCGTTGAATTTGAAGTAGTAAAAGCCGGATAAATATATACCTCGATTTTGCATTGAAATTAAAGTTGATGTCTTCAGAAACCGCTGCTCTGGAAGCAGAGTGTCGGTGGGGAAATCAAAGCTCTGCCAAATGAAACTCTGAGATTGATTCATCACTACGAGATTTCCAGTTTCGAGAAGTCGGAGTTGAATATTGCCACCGGAAACAGTGTCGCTGGACCAAACCACGGTGCCGTCTGCATCGGTGAGAACCAAATTGGAATTGACGTTGAGGGTCAGTCTGGATTTCTCTCCGTTAACCGGTTTGTCTCTGTTGGCCATCCATACCACAGTTTTGTCGAAGCTATTTGTGTACCATATTGAATAGCAATAAGAATTGTTGCCCACGCGATAAAACCCAGATGAAAAGGTTCCATTTGGGGAAATTAAGAACTGATTCTCGTCCTCAACGGCTATGGAGTTTCCGGGAGTCAGACTCTGCAACCCAACCGGCGCCGCCGCCCAAGCGCTGGAAGATGCAAGAAGTACCGAAGAAATCCACAGAAAAGAAACAAACATTGTGGTCGCTTTGAGAAGCTAATTTGGGAGAGGGGATTTAATGTATTGAGGGAAGATTTAGCAGAGATATGTTGTTCTAAGAGTGGGAGGTTGGCCATGTTGGGGTCAACGCCATTGGCCGCCATGAATCGCCAAAAGTTAAAACCAATAATAATTTGAGGTCCAACGTCAGACATGGCTGGCGAGTCTGAGTAATTATGTTTGGAACATCATCTTTTACAGAAGAACTTGCCCCTTCATCAGGTTTAGTCATGTTTCAATCCCTTCTACGGAATAAGTTTGGGGGATTTTTAGTTTTCTGTTTGCAAAATACTATTAATGATTTCTCCCCTTCAAAGACTGAGATTGAAAAACAAGAACTTGAAAATCGGTTCAACTTGTCAGAGAAAAATTATTATTTTTTCTCCAACTTGATGATCCACTTGATGGATATATTATTATTATTATTATTATTATTATAGTAAGAACATCTGTTGGTACATAAATGAGATTATTAGGCCGAGAGTTTTTAAATATGTAAACTTATTTTTTTTAGAAACGTGGCGGCTTAAAAAAAATATGAAAATTTTAATCATAATTTCGAACGCTAAAACAATATTTTTAAAAAAAAAAAAAAAAAATTATTTGACTAGGATTCAAAAGTAGAGTAAGAATAAAATAGGAAAAAACTTATTTAATAAAATATGAGAAAGGAAATTCCTTCCTGCATTTTGCACGATTTAAAACATCTTTATTAAATAATATGTCAAAATAAATATTTAATTTCGTTTTATTTTTGTCTTTTACTTGCCTAATTTTAGTCTTTGTGAGTTCAATGAATTTTAAAAATTAGTTCGTGCAGCCATTTTATTATTATTTTGTTTAAATAGTCATTGTCAGCGTTTCTTTAATAAATTATAAGATTATATTTATTTCTTGCTGACAACGATCATTAATATTTAACAAATTTTGAGAACTAAAATTAAGATTTTTCTAAACTGAAAAACAAAAGTATAGGAACTAAAATAATATTTTAATATTTTTTATGTGTATTGCATCGTATTTAATGAAACGACGAGTTATACAATTAGTCTAATATCATCTTTATCTTATTTCATCAATAAAGTACTCCAATTATGAGTCACACAAATATTTAAAAATTACACAAATCAACAAATCTGCACGAGGTTAATTATAAATAATTACTGGGAAAAAAATCCCAAGACGAAACAAACTGAAAAGTTCATAAATATTTTTATAATTTAGACAACAAGTGTTGAAATTGAAGTTTCTGTGAAGTTATGTTACCACACGGCAGCCGAGACAGATAAAATAAATGTGAATACCATACTTTATGGCACTAATACAATTGTCAAGAGCGTTGTGTTACAGTCTAGCACAGATCCAATCACCCGAAGAAACACAGCCCCCACCTCCTCCCTGTCACTCAAAGAATAGTCAATAGTGTTTCGACTGTACTGTACAGAGAAATGATTTTACACGACACAGTGCTCGTTGCTGAACAGAATCGAAGTTTTTGGCTTCTTTTTTCAGGGAGGGCCTTGTTGACTCTCTCACTTCAAAAGAGCTAATCGTTGAGACCTTAAGTAACCCTGTCTGTTATTAAGAATATCAATGTAACTTCGCAGCCTGTATCGGTCTGAATTTGTAAGTGAAAATGGTGGGTTTAGAATGAGAGATGGTGCTTCCACGAGAAGGAAAACCAGTAATTGTGCAGCTTTTGAATACAAGGCAGCTGCAGTTTCCATTTCACCCATAAGCTCCTCAACCTGTGCCAATCATCACATTACATCCAGAAATCAGTCAACACTTACTAACAAAGTAACAGAGTGATATTGTCATAATAGCAACGTTATTGATATTCTACAGGTTAGACAGCACAACTGATGATCCAAAATTCATGCACACTAGGAATAGGAGTACTCACGCCTCCATGCCTCCCAAAAGCTAGGGCTGATTGAAATACTGTCTCTATCGCATCTGGCATTTCTGTATTACCTGTAATCATAGGTAACAAAACGAAGTGAGCTGTCTCTCTTGATATCACTCCTATATATGCTTGCAATATTAAGATCAATAACAAATCATAGCAGATCGGGGACAAATTGAGTCTCTGGTATGCAGCTGTTACAGAAGACATACATAAGATCTGCACTTTCCAATTAATTCTGGAAGGCACACATTGCACTTGGCAACTCCATAGTGGAAGGCTGCCGCTGGCATTTGTCAAGGTTGGATGTTTATGGCTATGTTAGGTTTATTTATGGTTGGAGCGTGTGTGTCGGGTGGGTGGGGGGCTTTTTGGGTGTTCTGTAAGGTTGTTTTGTCTGAATATTAGATCAGCTAACTGCAAGTGCTGGCAAATGAAATGCAATTCTATAAGATCCTTACAGTATCAGTAGGAAAATTTCAGTCGAAAACTTACCGGGCTCAACAATCTTGGCAAGTTCTTCAGCATATTCAACTTCCCGAAGAAACTCCCTCTCAACTTGAGAAGAGATATCCACTGGCTGATGCGAGTTAACAATGAGATGAGATTCCTTCCCAAGAGAACTTCCTTGCTTCTTGCTGAGGCTTCTCCTAAATTCTGCAGAGCCTTGGCCTGGACTTCCTTCTAAAGCTGAAGCAGCCTGTGTATGGCATATGTCCAGAGCTTTTTTCCAGATTGCAAGAATAACAAGCTGAATCGAGAATGCTTCCAGCTGTCTACCCGCAGTGATCTTTGTAAAGAAATATGACACTGTAAGTTTCTTATGCCATAATGTAGTATTTTTAATTATATTTCAGTATTACATGATATAAGGTGACAATACGCATATAGGCATATCCAAGAAAGAAAAATAAAAGATATTTATTTGAATACTAATCCAACAATAATGCAACGTAATGATAGAAGTACTTAGCATCTATCGTAAGTAAGGAACAGAATAATACTTTACTATTTTCTTAACTATTAATTCTAATTACTCATGCGTGAAATTATGAAAAAGAACGAGAGAGTCGCTTGGCATGACAAGCAGAAATACATGAGGAAATTTGTAAAGAAACCGGTAGAAACATGATATTTTGTAACAATTTTGGACATTAGGTATTTGCGTCCTCCAGTCTTAAGCAGGAGACTGAAAAATAGCGTGAACTACAAGATACGTTCTCTATAAGAGAGAGACCAAATATAAATGGAATAACCTTTCACTCCACTCATTGATCACATTGCTCTTAAAAAAACTCATATATTTGGTACGTTGAGTACTTTCTTCCTCCAGTCATGACCAGGAAACTGAAAAATAAAGTCTGGCTCCAAAAGATGCGTCCTCTATGAGAGAAAAACAATGTAAATGAAGAAAAACCTTTCCACTCCACTCTTTGTTTATAATAGCTCATATAGTTAGATATCTTATTTTTCTCCCCGCCGCCCTCCAAACAGAAAAGAAACCATCTCTCAGATTTCATAACTGGATGGTAAAAGAAAGAAATTAGTTGCAGCAATTTGAAATCAACTTACCTTCTCCTTCACTAATTCTGTAATGGTAGATGCAGACTGCTGCAATGACTTGACCCTTGCCCTGCAATTCGCAGATGGCTGTTCCAAAGTGTCTTCTATATCCATTGACCCTGGAGCAGAACTTTGACTTCCCAAGCTTCCCATTCGGTAGCTGCTAGTAGTAGCTTTGCCAATGATAGGCATTGGTGCAGTCACTGCAGTACCTAACCTTATTGATGATTGAGGAGGACTCTGTGATTTGCGAGAAGGGATTGGTTTGGAAGCACTTGCCAAGGTAGATGAGGTGTCATCCATGGGGGGTCCAGACACAATAACATAATCTTGATCAATCAAATCCGGTGAATCCATAACTGTGATTGAGGAAATAGAACATAAGGGGAAGAGGCAATGGTAAGACATTCTGGATCTAGACAGCTAAATCCCATAAAGGGGATGAGGAAATATATACTTCATACCTCTAGGCCGATTATTCACCGATAGTGTGTTTGCAGATCTTGATGCACCATTCTGACTTCTAGCGGAGTGTACATCTCTTTCCAACTGAACGCGAGTATCCAAAATCAGAGTAGTACTTTCCATTTTATCTGGAATGCTGCCGTATCTGGAAGTAGTATCTCCGGTCCCTCTATCAACCTTTTTATCTGGGGAAAATCCATAAGTAGACTTCATTGACGACCTCCTCCTCACAGAGGATGGACTTCCTTCAGGACCACTAGAATCATCGTCTAAAGAGAAAGGTAGATAATCATCTTGTGAATTTTCCTCCATAATACTAGCAGGATCGGATTCTGAAAAAGGAAATTCATCCAGTAATCTCGATGACCTCTTACTTCTGTAAGCATATGGATTTAAATTCTATTATTTTGATAACATAAACATAGATTGAAAAAAATGGAGATCTTTGCTTATTTACCTCAGCGATTCATCAGGTTGATTAGCCCACACAAAGGGGTGCTTAAAAAATTCTTCAAATGTCAATCTCTCCACTGCATATAAAATGACAATGAACGGAATAGAACTAAAATGAGAAGAAATCTTACGAAGTTAATAGGAGCTTAGCATAAATAAAGGTAAGTAGTACAAATTGTAAGAATGTAATTCCATCAAATCAATGTACAAACAAAAAAGAATTACACTCATGCCACTGATGTTTAAATAAGATTGCACATTTCCTTTCCAAAAAACATAAGTCGAGAAAATTCTTCTAGAGCTACCAAGAAGCTGGTAACTGGAGGGAATTGTAGGCAATAAAAGTGGGAGAATCCAGGCAGGCATATTGAGGAAATTTACGAAAAGTGAGAGCTAAATTCACGTCATACTCTATTTCTTTTGTATGGAAAGAGAGATATTTCATCATACTGCGGCACTCATTCGTTCTTCAGATGCCATAACCCAAGATGTGGCAATGCAGTAAAAGATCAGAGAATAAAATTTTCAAGCAACTTTATACCTGGATTTCGACGCAGTAATTTCCTGCACAAATCCTTGCAGTCAAAACTCAAGTCATTTATATCTGAAGGGAAATGTAATTCAGTTGATTTGACAATGTTCTGGAGCAGCTGCCAGATTCATAATAAAAATATAGTATGAGATCGTCCGTGGTAATAATGAACACTCTAGGCATGCAAAAAAAAAAAACATAAAACTAACTGTACCTGTATTTGGTTGTTTCCTGTGAATGGAGTTCTTCCTGTTACGAGCTGAAATAATATAGCACCAACACTCCAGAGATCTGCCTGCGTATGGAGTTCACAGTTAATAGAATGAAGTTTGATTACATATAATGACTGTTCTTATCTTTTCTTTTTTTATTAGAAAAAAACA